TTTTGAGTCTGGGTTATACATTCTGCTTTGGAGACTCACCCATGTTTTTACATGGATTAGTAGTTCATTCTTTTTGATTGCGAGGCAGTATTGCATTGAATGGATAGATTCATGATTGATTTATTAATCATGAATCCTTTCAATGTATCTTTACAGGTATTTTTGTGAGCATCTTTTCATTTCTTTTGGGTAAATAGCTAAGAGTAGAATTGCTAGATCCTAAGTTAGATGTATGTTTAACCTTCTAGGAAACTGCCAGTTTACATATTGTTACTCTTAGTTAATAAACCTGATTACTCAATGAAGTGAATTTTTATATATTTTTGTTTTATGATTTGCTTTTGTCTTAAATTGCATTACATGCTATGGATACACGTTCTACTAAGAGGCATCTTTAAGATTATCATTTTGGTTTTTTTAAATGCTTCTGAGTTGTTCATATGACAACTTAGAATCTGAAAAACTTGTATTGGAAAACCTGGACTCTTTCATGGGTCTTTGTATATTTTTCTTTATTGTCTTATTTCATATTCAATACACAGAATATGTGTAACAGCATGTTAGTTATGAAGCATGTAATTATAGAAGGTTAAGTTTGTAAATCCACCACTCAATCCAAGCACGAACACATTTCCAAGAACTCTGCAGGAGCCAGTGGACTTCTCCCTGCTTGCTCCAAGGGAATTCATACCTTTCATTAATCCTCCTGCTAAAACAATGCAAAACAAAACAAACTATCATATATTTAATGTCTTTGCTCTAAAAAACTTGCTGTAATTTCATAGTTTTCCCTGTTTTTAGGAGCTTTATCAAATGTTATCATGCTGTGCATGTTTTTTTTGAACTTGTATATTTTTACTCAACATTGTTTCAAAGATCAACACTTGATGTATGTGGCTGTAGTTCATTCACTTTCTCTGCTGTTTAACATTCCTTTCTGGGAATGTATCATAACAGGCTATATTTCTTGTGATACCTGTTAATTATTGTTTGTGTTATTTCTCATCTTTTCACTTGATACTTAGTCTTTGCAGAGTCTAGTACACTCAGAATAATTTGAGCTAAAACTGCTACCAAGAAAATAGCTTTTTAAAAAGAAAAAGAAAACAAGCCAGGAGTTTCTACCCTAAAAGGACATTTTATAAGACACCTGGGGAAAATGGTGCAAACCAATCAAAAGTGTGACACTTTGTCAGTATGGCTGTAAAGCAGACTCCAAGTAAGGTTTGTCTAAATGGTTTATTTCTAAGATTGAAAAAAAAAAGTTTGATTGGGTGTGCAGAATATAATCCTTAAACAAAATAAAAATATTTTTCAAACAGTCAGGTAGAGCTTGAAGACAACCTAGATTTTGTTTTTCCCCCCCTCTAAATGAATTGTATAATGAACCTAACTTCCTAACCTAAAGTTATCAATCTTGTTGACTTCCTACTATTTTAGGAAAACATTTAAAAACGTCACAAATAAAAAACCATCTTGATTTAAAAATCCCAAAACCCCAATCCCAAAACAAACCTCTACATTTCTTACAAATAACTGTATGTACTTCTTTGTATTCTACATATACTTTTGTGTTCTTGGGGACACACAGATGAACATTTTCATTACTAACACTAAGAATATTAATTTGTAAAGTTTTGAAAGATTTTTGGTTGCACTTCTAAAAATTAGAACTAAACTTTTGTTTTATTTTACCAGTATGTATTTGTCTTAGTTACTTTGCTTGTTGCTGAGACAAAATACCCAACACCCAAAGTCAAAGGAGGAAAGGTTTATTTAGCTCACAGTTTGTAGAGGTTTCTGTCCATAATGGGCTGGCTCCAAGGCAGGGTGTCACTGCAGAGGAGAAACAGTTCATGGCAGGCAGAAGGTAACAAAGCAACAAGGGACGATCACAAGTTTTTCTATCCTTTATATTTTATCTAAGCTACTTAGGCTGGGTGGCACTCACACCCTTAATCCTAGTGCCCTTGAGCCTAGCACTGCACCATGGATCAATCCCAGCATCACACACTCTAGATCCAGCCTCCTCTGAAGAAGCCACGAGGCTTTGGGGGGACGTCTAGACACAGCCATCACAGTATTTAAAAGTTCTAAATATATGAAAATATATTATACCAAATATATGAAAATACAATATTTATATTCCTTTGCGTTTAATTACAATTATTCTGCTTAAAGTACCAGGATGGATCTGCAAGCATTAAGGCTAACCTTATGGAGGGAATACTGAAGAAATATCTAAAAATTAGTAGACAAAATTATTCATGTGTAGTTTCTAATTTTAAAACAATGCATGCTAAATTTAAGATTCGACTAAATTTGTTGTTGTCCTGGAACTTCTAAAACGGAAATATTTTTATTTAAAAATTAAGCTGAATTTATGTTAAAGAAAACAATCCCATATGCATAACTCTATTACATTAAAAAAATGTTTTCTTTCTGTACAACTGATTCACTGAATTGAGCTAAAAAAAATTCCAAGGGGAAAACTGATCCAGAAAATAAATACAGAAAATAAGGGCTAAGTGTCTTTTATGATGGCTTTTGATTTGTTTTTAACTGTTAAGAAATCACTTACGAAAGATGGGTGCGCAGCGTAATGCAGAAATCTTTTACAACTCCCAAGCAATAAACCTTTCCTTCCTATAGACCAAGTCCCCTTTACCAGCCAGCCTGATTGAGGCACTTTTTCTCCTCGATCTGTTAAATCACAATCCTTCTATTAGCCATCTTCTTTTTTTATTTATCACTGACATCAATTAGCCTGAGTCATGCAACCCGACCACATTAAGAGCGACACGTGGTCCAATCACTATTTTCAAAAAGTCCACGTCTTTTCGAACTCCTTCCAGCCATTGCTGGGCTGTTTCCCCCTTTGAGGACCTGGCTCCGCAGTATTTGTGCATCCGATGGCAGCTCTGGAGACGTCGCGCCTCGGGGAAATGTCTCAGGCACACTCGAGAGAGCCACGGAGGAGACGTGGGGCTGCTGTGGCGCGGGTTGCCAGTCACTTACGCATCAAACGGAGCCAGGGGGACGTGGCGGCCCGGGCAGGTGCGGCGGCTCTCCGCAGTGGGCACCGCTCCCGGGTGTGCGCTGCACGTTCCCGGATTGGGACAGCAGCCAGCAGCTGTGTCCCCGTCGGGATCCCGGCCCCACGTCCCTTCCGGGGGCGCCCCTCGGACACGCCCCCCCCAGCTCCCGGATCGCAGCTCCGCACAGTGCACGCGCCCGACCGCTCCCCGCAGCCGCCCACGTGCTGGAGCTCAGAGCAGCGCGAGGCGGAGCGCTCAGGGCCGGCCGCCGAGCCCCAGCCGCGGAGCCCCAGCCGGGCCCCCACATTTCCTCCCCCGGAGGGCGGGAAAGAGGCGACGCTCGCTCGGCGGGCCAGCGCTCCCCGGGCCCCGCCGCGCCCTCTGGCGGCCGCCTTGGGGACGAGCCCTCGGCACGCGGGGCCGTCGATCTGGGCCGCTTCCCCGGCTGGGGGCCCGCGGCGGGTTCCCTCTCCTCGCGCCCCGGGCCCGAGGCGTGCGGGCCATGCCCGCCCCTTCGGGCTCCCCCGCGCCCTCCGGAACTCTGGGCACCCCGGGTGAGACTCTGCGGGCGCCCCAGGCTCGCGAGAAAAGTGCCCGGCGTCGTGGCCAGGGGGTCCCCCTTCTCCCAGGTGTGGCCCGCCGGCCGTGATCGGGCCTTCCAACCCTCTGCGAAAAAATGCCGCCCGCCCGCACTTATTTATTTATTTTGCAACAGCTGCAAGCAACAATGAAGCTTTTCACGAAACGGGGCAGCGCGCCTCCAGCCGCACTGTTGTTGTTTTCAATGAAGCTCTCGGCCTGCACTCCCGCCCTCCCGTCCCCGCCTCTCTCCCCGGCCTCTCCGCCGCTGAGCCAGGACCCGCGCCAGGGGCATTGTTTTTAGAGTCCTGCGGGAGGGAGGGCGCGTGCGGGGCGGCCGGCGCAGTGCGGGTGGGGGCGGGAGCGCGTGGGCGCGCGCACGCGTGGCTGTGAGTGTGCGCGTGTGCCGGGGCGGGCGGGGTGGGGGCGGCGCCTCGCAGCCTCGCGCCCCACGCCCGGGCTCCGCTCCGCACGTCCGTGGATCCGGGCTCCGGCTCTTGGTATGCGCCGGCCTGGGCCGGGCCCTCGGCGCGCCTCGGCTGCGGCGGCTCCGGAGTGTGCGCGCGGGCACGTGTGCGCGGCCCCGGGAGCGCGCGCGCGAGTCCCCAGCGTGTGGCGGCAGCGGCGCGGCGAGGTTGAGGCTCTTGTTTACCAGCATTAACTCCGCTGAGCGGAAAAGAAAAAAAAAAAGGAAAAAACCCAAGGAGGAGCGAGCGCACCGGGCGAACTCGAGAGAGGCGGCGAGCAGGGGACGCCGCAGCGAGCTGTCCCCGGCGTCCCGCCGGCGCTTCAGACCCTCCCGGACCCCCGCCCTCCACTCCCTGCGCGCCCCTCCCGCGGAGCCCTCCGGCGCAGCGCCTCGGCCGTGACCTTCAGCGCGCCGGGCCGCGAGGACCGGCAGGCGGCGGGAGCCGGGCGGGCGGCGGGAGCGCTGAGCGGTGCGGCCGGCCCGCCGCTTTGTGTGCGCCCTGGATCGGGGAAGGAGCTCGCGGTGGCGGCGGCGCTGAGGGAGGCAGCGGCGGCGGCGAGCGGAGCCCGGAGGAGGAGGAGGGGGAGCCGCTCATTCATTTCTCCTCCGCGTCCCTGCCCCTCGCCGGCCCTGCCCGCGACCTAGACTTCGGGGCGATCCTGCCAGCTGCGTCGCGCTCTCCCGCCGCGGAGGCTCGGGTGCCGACCGTGTGCGTCCCCGCGAGGCGGATTCGGGCTGTGCCCCCGTGCAGTTTCCTCCCGCGCCCGCCTCTCCTGAAAATGGAGGCCGACGACGCCGACAGCCCGCCCCGGCGCGCCCTGGGTTCCCGACTCCGCCGAGCCCTGGGCCGCGGCTGCCGGCGCTGAGTGGCCGCCCCGCGCCGCCCCGTGCGCGCTGCCCGCCGGGCCCGGCTGGCGCCGCTTTCGGAGTATTGTTTCCTTCGCCCTTGTTTTTGGAGGGGGAGCGAAGACTGAGTTGGAGACTTTTTTTTTCTGTCCCCCCCCTTTTTTTTGAAAAGAGGAATTTCGTCCCAAAGCAAAGGAATGAAGTCTGGCTCCGGAGGAGGGCCCCCGACCTCGCTGTGGGGGCTGCTGTTTCTCTCCGCCGCGCTCTCGCTCTGGCCGACGAGTGGAGAAAGTGAGTATGTGCCAGCCGCCCGCGGCCGCTGCGGGAACTTTTCCTTCGAGGGGCTGCGCCCTGCTTGCGAAACCCGAGTTGCCACCGTCGCAGCTGTTGGGCCCCTGGGCTCGGGCGCGGCGGGGCGGGGCAACGAGGGGCTCGGCCGGAAGGCACGAGCGGGCCCGGAGGGCCCACGATCGCGGGGTTGGAGCCCGCCGGCCCCGCTTCGCAGCATCCCCGCGCGGGAAGGGCCTCGGGTTTTCTCTTTGGCCATCCCGGAGCCCTCTCCTGCGGCTGGTGGTGAAGCAGCGCGCACACCCTGACGGCCCGGTGGCCGGGCCAGGCGCGGGGACTTGGCGGAAAAGTTGTCCCCGGGGCCCCCACCCTCGCTCTCCCGGGCGCCCGGGCCGCTGTGCGCACAGCGCCGAGCCCCGCGCTGCACTCAGACGGCGGTGACAGCACGACCCGTGGCCGCTTCTCGGGCCGCCGTTGGGGCGGACGGGGTTCTTTGGTGGCGGGATACTGGGGACCCGCCCGCCCCGCGGGGTCCAAGTGGACCTGGGGGCTGCCCGGTGGAGAGGCCCGCAGCCCCGGGATGTTTCCAAACATCCCGGGGCGGCCTCCTGCCTCCCAACTTGCCTTGCCCCTGGAACTCCTTGGGTTCATGGTCTTTCCCACCACACTTGGCGGTGGATCACCCCCTCCCGTCCGGGCGCTGCCCCGTGTGGCCTCAGGGCTGGGGGAAGCGCCCCTAGGGAAGTGGGAGGTCGAGGACCTCCATTGGCCAGGCTCTTCCGGGGAGCGCGGCCGAGCTCCTAGTTCAGAGGGCTCTGGGACGGTCCTCCGTTTCCACCCGCCCGCGGATGCCTTTTCCCCTGAAGGGTCTGGGGCGTCAGGGCCACGTCCAGGTGGGCACTAGTGGGCGAGGGGGTCAGAGGCCACGTGCATTTGCACACTCGTTCTCGGAACGCGGGGCATCGATGCAGCCTCACGGCCACACCGGGACACCTAGACGCTGTCCCTGGCCAGAGATGTTGAGCGCTGTCATCTCAGGAGCGTCGGGACCTGTGGCGGCAAGAGGGAAGTGTTTTGTTTTGAGAGTGGGCAGCCCGAGCCTTGGTTTTGTGGCCAGAGTTGTGTCGCGCTGCCAGCCCCCCGCCCCGCACTTCCTTTGTACGCAGTTAATAGGCAGTATAGCTCTGCGCCCGCTTCGCTTGCAATCTGATAGCTTTTGTTTTGGTGGTGTCGGGTAGGGGTGGGTAGCGGTAGGCAGGGAAGCTCGGGAGTGAGAGCTCCCCATGGCTTGTGGAGGCCGGAGAAGGAGGGGGTTTTGTTCCTCTCAAAAATAATAAAGTGTGGCATACTGGTACATTCGAGATATTAGGGTAATTGGAACACGATCGAAAGTTTAAGATGCAGACGCAGAACTGGGGCTGGGAACGGTCAGGGCTTGCTGGTGAGTAATGTTAACCCAGGGTATGCAGGTGGTGCCTATTAACTTCGAAAAATAACGACCCAGCCTTAAAGGGAGAGGGAGAGGAGCCGGAGGCTGCGGGGGCTGTGCGGCCCCATCTCGGGGAATTCAGGAAGGCTTTTTCTATAAACAAATCTTTCTTAAACTTCTCGTAAGAAAGGAGCCCACGATGGAGTGCAAGCAGATCTCTATAGAATTCGCCTGTTTATTGCATGGAGTAAGACGCAGGCGGGGGCCAGACCTTCCACAAATCTGGGCTCGCCTGTTCATTGTTTTCCAGACTTTGAGCACACACTGGATTGGGCGAAAGGCTTCAGGCTCCCTTTCTTTCCTCGGGGATTTAGGTGGGGTTTGGGGGACAGAGGAAGGTTTCTAACCGGTAAAAGCTACAGTTTACCAGACGCCTGAAAGCCGATCTTTTATAATAGTACGGCAGTTGAGTTTTATTGTTTAATTCAAGTTCTGAAATTCAAAATAGCAGTGACGGCCTGACTTCCCTGGGGCAGTACTCAGCATTTAAAATAGGACGTCTTACTGTTTGAAGTGTTTTACAGAAAGAATACTCTTTCTAAAAGGCGGCACTTTCTCAACACAGGCAGGGAAGGATACCTAAAGTGTGTTTGTAATCCTGTGCTGCCCAGACTCTTCCCAGGGATCCTTTAAAAATGGTTAATGCAGTCAAATCTGATGGATGGGCAGAAGGTACCCCCAAATCTTGACTCGGTCGGTAGCTGACTCTCCCATCCTCTTTGCAGCTCTGAAAACTAAATGATGTACTTAAGGCTGAAAGGTACAGACCACTGTGCTCAGGAGTAAGTGGCCCAGTCCTGTCAGAGATGGACATCTTTTGGCTGTGATCTCTGGGCAGATAGGAAGAGGGGGATGCTGTTGATCAGCAGTAGGTATTCTGTTGGCATATTTGAGGATTAATGATTTTTGAGTGGGACAGCAGCGAGGTGAGTGTTTTCTTTCTAACCTACAGTGGAACACTTGGCAGCTTGGGCAACGACTGCAGTCATATGGACATATTTACTTTGTACCACTGTAATGTGAGCGGATCTTCTAAATAAGGCAGGATTGGGAGTTATGAGTGACAGCCAAATAATCTGATGGCTGTTTTGTTGAAATCCACACCAACTTTAAACGTATTGTGGCAGCCCCCTGCCACAATTTAGTGGCACAATTTAGTGATCTTCTGCTCTTGGTACAGCAGAGACTACTATCAGAGAAATGTAGATAGGGGAAACGTTGGTGTTTAAAGAAGGTAGTGTTTTTTATTACCTCACAGAAGGAGAACCCAGAATAAGAACTTCTGAAAGTACCTAACTAGTACGTTGTAGTTTAGTCTCTCTAGAGGGAAACAGCAAGTAAATGGTGTTTTGTGGAGGGGTGGCTTATGGGCCAGGATTTGAAGATTAAAAGGTCATATGTTTGGTTTGTCAAGAGGATTGGAAAAATTCTTCTCTAAGAAATACGCAAAGGTTGAGTAGACGAGCCTTGAAAACATCAGAAAAAGTGAAAAAAGTCAGCTACAAAAGGTCCTGTCTTGTTGGTACCATTTATGTGAAATGTCCAGAATAAGCAAATCCAAGGACAGAAAGTAGATTAGTGGTTGCCAGGGGCCGGAGAAGGACAAGCACCGAATGGAGAGTGACTGCTAAGGGGTACAGGGTTTCTTTCCAGGTGGTGAGAATGTTCTAAACTTAGATTGTGGTGATGGTCGCACAGGTTTGAATATACTGATAGCCACTGAAGTATCCATTCTAAATTGGTGGCTTTTATGTATGTGAATTATATCAATAAACCTGTTTGTTTTTTTTTAAAGAAATATGCTAAGGTTGAAAATATATTGTGCTACGTTGGACATAAAATAAAAGTTAGTTCAAAATTCCAAATTAAATCTGATGTGTAGGTTGGTATGACCCTTTAAAAAAAATGGTGAGTTTTTCAGATCTGTGAATTCTAGCAATACTATAAACGATTCAATACCATCAGAGACATAGGCAAGCAGGAAATAAAGAGTCTTGGTCATATATAGTTTGAAGATTGGATAAACACAAGTGCATGGTCTCGCACACCTATAATCTCAGCAGTCTGGGAGGGGGCCTGAGGCAGGAGGATGGAAAGTTCCCTTCCAGCCTGGGCGATTTAGCAGTGAAGTGAAACCCTGCCGAAAAATGAAAAAATAAAAAGGGGCCAGTCTTAGCGCTCACTGTGGAGGTTCTATGTTCAGTCCCTGGTACCATACAACCAAAATACTAGTGATGTTTTGGCAGTAAAATCTTCATATGAATCTAAAACGATGTTAGTCTTTTCAGGATAGAGTTTAGACTGGATGCAGTATGGATGACTATGTGTCTTTCAGGTTTTATTGGGTATGTTTTCCAACAGAGAAGTAATGTGCTGCTTTAAGATGGTAAAGAATTGACACTCTTTTTTGATAGACCATATTAACCACAAGTGGTACTGTAGTGAAGATGAAGGATGTACTGTTTGTTTTAATGCAATGGTTTCTTTTTCTTTTTTGCTTATTTTGATTCTTAAATGGCTCCAGAATCTGAGCAGGAGGAGGTGTCTTTATTGGATGTAGTAGTTATTTCAGGCGTATAGTGATTTTCATGAAAAAATTAAATGTCCCATAGAACAAAAAGATTTAAAAATATAGCCAAGGCATTTTTGTTTTTATATTGCAGTGCCTTTATCCAAATTCATCTTTCCCTTTTGATCGTACGAAGACCTAGAGAATAGTTGTGTACATTGGTTTTTGGTCTTTGTCTAAGACATAGTTTACTAATAAAAATGTTTCTTGCTTCTGCTTTTGCAAGAGCCAGGGTGTGATGAAAATCAACTGTATCATTTTCACTTGTTGCCTTAGCTACTCTCCCCCCCCCCCCATATGCCATGGGTCGCCCTCATGGGATTGTTATTTCCTTTTTATTCTGGTCTCATTTGTTTTGTAAGATGTGCTGTAAAAAGCAGTTGAATCCAGCCAGCAATTAGTGGGCACCTACTGTATGAGAGCTGACTTTGTACTGGGCAGTACCTGAGTCTGCATAGAAAGAGGGCTTTGCTTTTGTTCTGCATGAAAGGAAGTTACTTGAAAATTTACATTGTTTTTAGACTCAGCATGGGATACATAGTTCTCAGAAAGTAGGCAGCCTTGTAAGTCCCTTTATCCCTTTAAAAACATCTCTGTAGACTTGAGACCTGCAGTAAACTAATGTCCTTGCTATTGGCTGCACTATTTTTTCCTTATTTATATTTTCCCTTATGTTGGAGTGTCACTGTAGGTAGTGATATACAGATCCTTGCCTACCGTACTGCTTTTCTAACACTGATTATGACAATTGTGTCTAAAAACATGCAGTGTCCTGGCTGCCTTTTGCCAGAGTGTTAGGTTTGTGCATGAATGTGGCCTTGCATGTTTGATCTGTGAGAAGAAGGGTGACTGCAAGTTCGAGCCCAGCCTGGGCCATTTAGTGGCTTAGCAAGACTCTGTTTTAAAAAGTAGAAAAAGGGCTAGGCATGCAACTCAGTGCACGGG